GACCTGACCCTTTCCTTTGGGGTTGTTGGCACTGTGGGCAGTGCCCAGCCCAGGAGCACATCCCGACCTGCCCTGGGACATCTCCCCCTGCTCTGGGAGCTTCCCGTGCCCGTGTCCACAGGGGTGGCAGGAAATAACCCCGGGATCCAAAATGCCCCGAGCTGACAGCAGCATCTCACCAGGGAAGAGGAAAGGCTGGGCATGGAGGGCACACATTGGCAACCCAAAAGCAAAGCCCAGCCTGGAAACTGCTGCTGTTCAGGGTGAACTGGGACACCACAAGCCACCGAGGTGGGCACTGCATCCCCCAGGGACTGCAGCACTCCCAGACCTGGGGCAGGGCTGGAACTGGGGTGCTGCAGCTTTGCTTTGAGCCCCAGGAGCTCTGGGGCTACAGAGAGAGGCTCAGCAGCACCTTCTTACTTCCCCAGTGCCACCCACAGGTGATTTTATCCTTCCTTCCCCTCGGCTGTAACCAAGCCCTGCAATCCCCCGAGGACACACAGAGCCTGACTCTTGTGCAAATATTGACAGAGCCATTCCCAGGAGCCAGGGAAGTGGTTTGCAGCCCTGTCTCCATGGGCTGGTGGAGTAGTCTGGGCACCAGCTGGACCCACACGGTGGCTGAGGAGCTGGCACAGGGCAGGGCTGCACCAGCAGCTGGACATCAGCCCTTCCTGGCACGGTGGAGAGAGATAAAAGATATTAAAGTGCAACTGAGGGGCTGCAAAGGGTTAAGTGCTGTGGCTGAGAGACACCAGGCCAGTGCTGGGCCAGTGCTGTTCCCTCCCTCTCTCCCTCCCTCTCTTTTATGATGTTTAAATAATGTCCTTTGCGTTCCTCCCTGCTGCTTCACGGCCTTGAAATAGAAACTGTATCGATCAGCGAGGCTGAGCCTTCACAGACCTCTCTTTAATAGACTGGAAAACCCATCTGTGCTGGTCCTGGGGCTCTGGGCCTGCCTGGACCTGTCTGCACTTGGCAGCCACCAGCACCTTTGGAACAGGGGCTCTTTAACCCCCTGCACGGCTTTGGGGTCCCCCCTTGAACCCTCTGGCTCCCGGGGGGTAATTCCCAGGAATCCCAGGCTGCCTGGGCCCCCACTGATTCATCCACGGGATGTTTTTTCCCTAATCCCTTTGGCTGGTGCTCTGCTCTGTCCACACACGCACACAACACACACACACGGAAACTTTCTCTGGACTTTGCTTTCCAATTTTGGCCATGGAGAAGTGACCTTTCACTTTTCTCCCTCGACAACATCGCTGTCACCGTGGGAGCAGCTGGGTTTTCAGCATCTGGGACTTGGTTGCACACCAAAAGTCTTTGATCTTCCCAAAAAAATGTCCCAACGTGACAAAAAACTGGGGTCAGGGGCACGCTCGTGGTCGGTCCAGCCTTGCTCTGCATCCAGCCCACGACTGCAAGGCCTAAAGAGGGCTCTTCCTCCCTCTTTTCCAAACCCAGGTCTCCCTCACAGGGCAGGACCACTCTGCCCTGCCAAGGGTGGCAGTGCTTTCCAGAAAAAAAAAGGGAAAACCTGCACAAAGGGCAAAGGCTTTGCCGGGAGAAGGGTCATCTCAAGGGCAGCAGAGGCTGCTCATATCCCTGGGAATATCCCTGAGAATACCCTTCAGGAACACCCTGGTGCTGCAGGCCCATGTCCAAGCACAGCAACCTGTGCTGAAGGGGGGAAAATTGGGATTTAATCCAAAGGGAGCTGGGTTTGCTGCTCCCAGCCTGGGGTGGTTTGTGTCACTCGAGCAAAGGGCATCCCCTGGGAAGAGGGGCACAGGGGGGGCTCAGCCCTGCACTGCCCTCCCCGTGGGATGGGCCTGGGTGCAGGGAATGGTCTCATCATCCTGGGAAGAGCCCCCTCAGCCCCAGAGGGACTGGCTGCTGCAGCTTTGGGATGAAGCACACAGAGGCAGGGAGGGGAAACTGCTCCAACACCCCGAGCAGACCCTGAGGGTGCCACTCCAGAGGGGGAGAAGGCAAAGGAACAAGCCCTGGGCACATCCTAGGGACATGCAGGTGGCCCTTCCCTGTCTCTGCTCCTCCCACAGGACCAAGGGTGGCTGAGATTCCTTCCCTGACATCCGACTGCAGCAGCAAGGCTGTAAAACCCCTGAATTCCCAGGTTCTTTTGGCAGCAGCCCCAGCACGGTGGGAAACCCTGTGAGTCCCTCTGGGAGCACATGACATGCACACCAGTCATGGCACGGGGTCACTGTGCTCCCCCTGCCCTCCCACCTCTGGTTTGATGAGATTTTTCGGGGTGTTGCCCTTGTAAAACCCTGCCCTGGGACTGATTCCCGGGGCACTGGGGCGTGGGGCAGGTGCCTCCCACGGGCAGGCACTGCCTGTGCTGGAGGTGCTGCTGCTCCCCAGGCCAGGGAGTTCCCTAAAAACCTCCTCCCACCCTGGGCTGCCAGGCTGGCACCCCACGGGCTCCCCTGTGGGGAGGGCTGAGCCCATCCTAGGGTACCTAGAGCCAGTGTGGCTCTGGGGTGCTCAGCCCACCCGGGGGGAGGAGGAGGAGAGGGCAGGAAGGCAGATGTGACCCCAGGATCAGCAGCAGCTCTGGGGAGAGTTGCTGGACCCTCTCAGCCCCACTCCCAAGCTTCTGGCCGAGGGCAGAGCTGCCCCCTCACCCCTCTCTATGTCCCCTCACCCCTCTCTATGCCCCCTCACCCCTCTGTGTCCCCTCACCCCTCCCTGTGTCCCCTCACCCCTCCCTGTGTCCCCTCACCCCTCCCTATGTCCCCTCACCTCTCTCTATGTCCCCTCACCCCTCCCTATGCCCCCTCACCCCCCCCTGTGTCCCAGCCTGCTCCCAGCACGGCAGGACCCGGAGGATCCAGGTGGGAGCCCCCCGATCTCTGTGCCCAGAGCTGCCCACGCCCTGGAGCGATGGTGTTTCCCAGGAGGGACGCGACCACCCCGTCCTACCCCCACCCCTGCTGGGAGCCCTGGGCTGTCCCTGCTGCATTTCCCTGCCTGCGGGTCCCTTGATCCCGAACAACCCCGTAACAGCCCCGAGATTGTCACGGCCCGGCGGCTCCAGGGCAAAGCAGCCGTGTGGGGACAACTCCCTGCACCAGCGGCGGGGGTGGCAGAGCCTCGCCGGGGCTCACCCGTGTGACCGCTCCACACCCTGGCTCGGCTCGTGGCACTGTGGCACCGGGGACACGGCTGCGTCCCCCACCTCCTGGTGACATGCTGGGAACCCTTTGGTGACAAGTCTACACCCTCCTGCCCATTCCCGCTCCCCTACCCCCCCCCTCCACCCCCCCGGTGACAGACCTGCATCCCCCCCCCCCCCCCAGGTGACACGTCCTCCCCTCCCCCACCCCCCCCCCCCCCCCCCCCCCCTCCATCCCCCGGGTGACCGGCCTGCATCCCCCCCCCCACCCCCAGGTGACACGTCCTGCACTCTCCCACCCCAGGTGACACCTCTGCACCCTCCCCGAGCGACCTCTCCCGCATCCTCCCGCCGGGTGACATCACATCTCCTGCACACCCCGCCCGCTCAGGTGCCACCTCCTGCAGCCCCCGCGGGTGGCACGACATGTCCTGCATCCCCCACCTCGGGTGACATCTCCTGCAGCCCCTCCCAGGTGACATGTCCTGCACACCCCCGCCCCCCCGCCTTCCCAGGTGCCACCTCCTGCATCCCCCCCTTCCCGGGTGACATCTCCTGCACCCCCCCACCCTCACAGGTGCCACCTTTCCCCGCCCCAGGTGACACGTCCTGCCCCTCCCCTGCCGTGACATGTCCCCCGCGGGTCCGGACACCCCGTGTCCCCTCGGCCGGGGGGCGTCCGGAGGCTGCGGGGGTGGCTCGGGTGGGTGGCCAAGGTGCCCCCGGTACTCACAGCCGGTCCTGTCCGCCAGCTCCCGCATCTCGGCGGGCACGGAGTGCGCGGAGCCCATCCCGGGCCGTGCCGGGAGCGGCGCCGCGGGCGCTGCACCGGGAGCGCCGCCGACAACGCTTTATAAGGGCGGGGAGGCGGGGAGGCGGCGGGGCTGCCCCGGGTCCCTGCGCCACGCACATCGCCGGGACGGGCACAGAGCGAGCACCGAGCCGGGACGGGGACAGAGAGAGAGCACAGAGCCGGCACGGGGGCAGAGAGAGAGCACAGAGCTGGCATGGGGGCAGAGAGAACACCGAGCCGGTACCGGGGCAGAGAGCACTGAGCCGGCACTGGGGCCACAGTGAACGTCCGACCGTCCTTAGGTCCGGGGTTGACACCCCGCAGTTCTTAGGCTCCAGACTGAACAGCCCAGCCAGCCCTAGGCTCCAGAATTAACACCGAGTCAGTCTTAGGTCCAGAGTTAACACCGAGCTATCCTTAGGCTCCAGACTGAACAGCCCAGGCAGCCTTAGGCTCCAGGGTTAACACAGAGCCGGCCCTAGGCTCCAGGGTCAGCATTCCTGCAGCCCTCAGACTCCAGAGTGAAGGGCCGTGACAAGGGCCCGGCCTGGGCAGGACCCCCTGGAGGCGGGGGCACTCCCATCATGAGCTGGTGGCACCCGCAGCCCCGGCTGTGCCCACTCGTGGCTCTGGGCGCTGCACGGAGACCATTCCCCAGGAGAAGGGTGTGGAGTTGCTCCAGTGTGTCCCACTCCCTGCCCAGCCTGGCTGCAGGAATGTGGGCCGGGATCTCCCCCAGCGAGGAGAACCCCCGGTTCCCACCTGAGCCCATTTCCCCCCCCAGCACTGCCCAGGGCTGCACCGACCCCCGGGATGGGGACAGGGCAAGGGGGCACAGACAGAGGGGTGACACAGGACCCCCCCCACAGCCTGGCTGTGGTGCCAGGGTGTGGCAGCAGGAGGCAGGTTTGGTGCAGAGGTGGGTGATTCTGTCACCATCTCCCTCGGTGCCAGACCGGGCTCTGGCACTGGCAGGGCCACGTCAGCCTCCCACGGGCACAGGGAAGAGCACACAGGGGGTTTGGGAGGCAGCTCAGAAAGCACAGCACACCGTGGGAGGGGGTAGCAAGTCAGTGCCGTTTATTTTTTTAAGCCAAATATAAACAGGAAAGGGATCAAATCATTTCCAGCCTCCAGCTGTCCCAGATCCAGGAAAATACCTGTTTATAAATAAAAAAGGAGAAAGGAGAGATGTCCCCATCTTGCAACCTCAGCTGTGTCGGGGGCCCTGGGACTCTGCACCCTCTGGGCAGTTTTCCATTAAATGCAGCTTTTGGTTTGGTTCAGGCCCCTCCAGCCCAGAGAAGGGAGGGTAACACAGCACCATTCTGTCCCTGCCTGCACAGTCCCTGTGTCCTCTGCGGGGGAGGAGCCAGTAGGGAGGCTGGCAGGGCCCACGGAGCTGGGATGGCCCTGGGAGATGCTCAGAACTAGTCAGGACAACACCCTGAGCAACCCGGTGTGCAGGTGAAGGTGGCCTGGAAGGGACCAGGACATCCCAGGAGCCCTTCTCCAGCCTTTCCTCACCCCCTGTCCCAGAGGACACAGCGCTCTGCTGGCCCCGGGCAGGGCTGGAGGGTCCTGGCGCCTGGTTTTCCTGCCAAGGCTGGTGACAAACTTCATGGTTTGTCACAGAGGCCACACTCCCAGCCCTTGGCTGTGTCAGGATGCTCCAAGAATGTTCCTGCTGGTCCTGCGTGTCAGGATGGGTGTGGGAGGGTTGGAAGGGCTTCCCAAGAGGATGTGGCACCACCACTGTCCCAGGGAACACACTCTGCTGGTGGAGGGCTGGGAGCAGCTCTGCAGCCTCTCTCACAAGACACTGGCCTGTAAGGGTGGACAAACCTCCCACGGATGCTGTTGCCCACAGGCCTCACTCCCTGCTAGAGGAAACCCGGGAATGGTGCTCCCTGCAACATCCCTGAGTCCCCGGATCCAGCGGCACCGCTGGGAACCAACCCACGGCTGCTGCTCAGCTCCCTGTCCTTTTCCTAAGGATCCAGACAGTGACTCCTCCTTCCCTCCAGCCTCCTCCCAGCCTCCTCTTCCCCCACTCTGTTTTTCCTTCACTCTCCAGGTTTAACCTGGGCTGTTCTGTTCCCAGGACAGATGGCCAATGACATGGAAAGAGAAGGGAGAAGATGGTTTGAGCTGCAGGAAATTCACCCCTCTGCTCCCAGGGGATGCAGGACCAGAGGACTTTGGCACTGCACTGGGGAACCTGGCCAGGCTTTCCACTTGGTTGGATGGTGGGAGAGGAGGGAGGCAATTCCACCTTCTCCAGAAAACATCCCTTCTCCTGGACAGCCCCACAGAGACAGGACAAACTGCACACTGTGTGCATCGGCACCATCTGTAACATGAACACTGACGTGGACCCGGACATTACTCATGGACACAAGGAACTTTTGGGATCCACTGCTGTCTTCTTGGGGAAAAGGTGACTGTGGAAACCCCCTCCTGTGCTGCCAGGAGGGGAGGGGGCACAGGGAAACAGCAAATGTCACCCCACTGTCCCACAGAGGCGTTTCCCTCCATGCAGACCTGGGATGCGCAGCCTGCAGGAACTGATGTGCATTCCAAGAGGCCGCTCAAGCAGGGACAGAGAGGGATCCCTTGGGGGTTTCCAGCTTTCCCTGGCCACCCTGGATGCTTGGGCTGAAGCCTCCTACAGCTGCAGATACTTCAGCAGGGAATTCCTCCTCACCAAGAGCAAAACTCAACCCAGAGCAAACAGCACAGGAGGCAGAGGGGCCACCCCAACCAAATGGGAACAAACAGGGGGGCTTTACACACTTTGTGTTTGCCTGAAGTGCCAAAAGCAGACTTGGACCCTGGGCTGGTGTTATGTGGTGCCTATTGAAAACACCTCAAGTTTCTTCCAGATTTGGCACATCCAAGGCTGTGTCCGGGTGACACCAACACCAACACCCACAGCCAGGCGTGGGCAGCACAGCAAAGCAGAGCTGTCTGAGGACACAGTTCCTCCACAGAACACCTGCCAAAGGGCCCAGGATTTAGCTACAGGGCTGCTGGGCTGCCCTGTGCACCCAGTCCCTCACAGCACACAACACTCCCCTTGGAAACAGGAAGCAGCAGCTCCCCCACTTCCTCCTTGACCAGACTCTCCTCGGGGTATGAACACAGAGTGGCCCCAAAAGAGGGATATAATGGGCTCTGCTGGCTGCTCTGGGACCCCTGGCTTTAAGCACACAGCATGTGTTCATGTGGGTTAGAGAAGCAGTGGCCAGCACCAATTTTCAGGGGAACTCTGTGTGGCTTCCATTGGCTCCTGTGTTTTTTTTATGGCACGACTCTACCTGGCACTCAGGCAGCACCTGAGGGTTCCTGTGAGCTTGGTAAAATTCCCTTGATGCACTTGAGAGAGGCCAAGATGTCACCAGACTGCCCATGTGGCATAGTCCAAGGGAACTCGGTGACATCCAGAGCTGGGACTGGGAATAGGGAGCCCAAACCCTGCTCTGCCTGTTCTCAGCTACCAGCATCAACCCTGGGACTCCACAGCCCCATTCCCAACCTGGCACCCCTGCTAGGAATCTTTTGGGATCTGCTTTCAACCCCAAAAAGGGCTGGAGGGCTGGGGTCTGCTTCAACCCTCGAGAACAAGGGATGGGTTATAAGATTTTTGTCCGAGGTTTCCCTACCCTGATTCAAAATGGAAGTTCCTCCCTCCCTGCAAGGTCATTTCAGTGCAGACCTGCTCTAGTGGAAGGTGTCCCTGCTCTTGGGAACTGGATGAGCTTTAAGGTCCCTTCCAACCCAAACTATTCTGGGATTCTATGATTATAATCCTTCACAGTTCCCCTTGGAGCAGAGCACCTTCCCCATTCCCCAGCACATTCCAGGCTGCTGCCCCTGAAGGCCCGGGGTCCCTGCAGAGCATCACCACCACTCCAGGGGCAACGTGCTGGGCTTTGAGTGTTTATTTCTTGCACACAGCCAGTGCTCAGGACTGCAGGAGGATGACCAGGACTGCAGGAGGATGACCAGGACTGCAGGAGGATGACCAGAACTGCAGGAGCATGACCAGGACTGCAGGAGCATGACCAGGACTGCAGGAGGATGACCAGGATTGCAGGAGGATGACCAGGACTGCAGGAGGATGACCAGGACTGCAGGAGCATGACCAGGACTGCAGGAGCATTATGAGGACTGCAGGAGCATTATGAGGACTGCAGGAGCATGACCAGGACTGCAGGAGGATGACATGCAGTTGAAGCATTGTTTTAGGGCAGGGCTCTGTGATTTCACCTGAAGTGCTACAAGAGCTTAAGAGCATCCACCTAATTCTACAGGGACCTAATTCTCAGCTCTGAGAGAACTACTGTGTTGCAACTGGACAGTGACAGGAGCTGCAGCTACTTCTACACACACTGCTTCAGAAACCACAAAGATATGCACAAACACTGTCACTCTGCACCCCTGGACCCAGAAGAAAACCTTTTCTGCTGTGGTTCTCTCTGGGCCTTAAGTCATGTTAAAATTCATGTGCCTCGAGCTGCTAAAGCTCTTCCCTTGCAGGCAGCAAAGTCTGTGCTCCCCCAGAATCCAGTCTCTTTTGGCAAAAAGGAAGAAGGCCTCAAGCTGCAGGAATCAACATCTTGTTTCCATACACAGGTTGGCTGACTCCAGGGCTGGCCAGTTTCCAGTCATAATTCCAATGTATTGCATAAATACCTACAGATTGGAGGAGGCAGCGAGTGGCAGCTCCCTGTTCATCAAAGTCATTGTGGCACTGGCCCCAAGGCTCCCAGGAAAGTGCCACGAGGTTCCAAAGTGTCCTGGGAGCACTCAGGCCGTGCCACAGGTGCTGCCTTGGACACACATGATGAACAGATCACAAAACACGGGTTGGGTGTGTTCAGCAGGTGTGGAAAAGGACGAGAAGCTCCTCTTCTGCTTTAGGAGAGTCCGAGTCCTCAGCAAGGTGGCCACTGGACCCAGTGCCTGCCACCCCAGAAGCCTCACTGCTGCTGGTTTTGTTGCTGGGGCTCTTTCCCAGGCCCAAAAGGATATTGCCAGGCCCAGAAGGATATTCAGGATTGGGACAGTAGCTCTATGAACAATCAGACTACAGAGGTGAAGCAAAACCTGACCAAAAACTCAGACCAGAGAGGACGACAGGGAAACGTAAGAGACTTTAAAAACTATCACCTGCGTGGGATATACATTAAAAACCAAAGCAAACAGACACAACCAAACAAAAACCCCACAGTACTGCAAGGACAAGCAACTTCCTTCTCTGGAAGAGGGGGTTCTTCCACGTTCCACACCAGGGATCTCACTGTGTCGACCTCCTAAGGCAAGACAAGCACAGGACGAGCAGTTTGTGCAGATCCTCCCGAAGGACCACGTGCTTCCTTGGCATGGCTGTCCCTGCAAGATCCTTCTGCTTGGCCTCAACTGCCAACATGTCCCTGTGCCTCTCGGGCCAGAACGGGCAGGCAGGCAAGGGGAAGATGCTGTAGCACCAGTTTCAAAGTTCAATGCAGTTTTCAATGCATTATCAAGCCAAAGGATTGTCACCGAACTTGCTTTCCACGCAAGTTTTTGCCAAGAGGGTAAAGCTACACTCCAGCTGCTTCTGTCCTCACACTGCCTTCTGCACTCACTCCTTGCCTGAGCTGTAGATCTTCTGAACCGTGGCTCGTGTGAGCTCCAAATCCTCCGGGTACCGAATTTCCAGCTCGGTATTTGCCAGGTAGTGAAGGCCGGTGAACTCGGAAAAATAGCGGCCGATGTCGGGGTGAGGGATCTCCCGAGGCTCGGAGTTGTATTCCAGGTTCTCTGCCAGGAAAGGAAAGGATCAGTTATCACCACAGGAAATGGTGCTAGTGCAAGGCAAGAAACCCTGGGCCTGTCTCAGGGCCTTGTTTCTGGCTCTAGAAACACCAAATCTCAGTGCTTTGAATTAAAAAAAAAGCCCTAATCCAGGAAAATGTGCATGGAGTATGGCAGTCTGAGGGGGCACAGAGCCTCGCCTCCTAAGTGACCCCATTTACCAGTGGCATGAGAACTGTTTTATGCCTGACACTGGGCTGCTGCTGGATGACACTGGATGCTGCTCCCACTCTGGTAAGTGCAGGGAGCAGCTGCTGCACTGAGCTCTGATCCCTCACGGCCCACGGGAGATCGGCTTTGGGAGTGACCCTCCTCAAATGCTCCAAGCTGAGCCCACCTGCACAAGGTTGTCCTGGCAGAGGAGCCAAGTGCTTCCTTGCTCAGCCCGTGTTTCCACCATGCCAAGTGCCCAGCCTGGGTTTTGGGCATCTCACAGCAAAATCAACTGCTCTAAACCCAAACTTCCCCAAGTTAAACCGAAGAAAGTTCCTAAGAAAGGCAGGTTGATTCTTTCCCAGAGCAGCCCATTTCCTCCTCTGTACTACAAGACAACCTGATTAGGCACAAGAGTTAAACAAACACTAAAACCCAAAGGTGACCCCGGCCCAGGGCTGCTCTGCTCTGCAGGGTCAGCACAGAGCAGGAGGACTGGCAGTAAATCCCACACAGGTGCCCTGCAGCAGTCCCCAAATGATGTAATTTTTTTCCAGCACAGTGCCAGATAATACAGGAACTATTATCTATTAAAAAAAAAAAAAAAAAGCTGCCTAAGTGTCAAAGCCTGACTTTGGCCAGGGCAGGAACAAGACGTGATGCAGAGAATGTCATTCCAGAATAATCTGTCTCTGAAATTCCGTTCACTACAGAGAGCCCAGAGAATTCCTATTAATCCATGCAGGCTCTTTGAAGCTGCTGCAGAAGCACAAGGGCTTTCTATCCCTCAGCAGTGGTGCAGTCCAGTCCTACAGGCTTGCAAAGGACCTCTCTGGATACTGCACCACTGCGGAAAAGAATTCCCAGTCCGAGGGCTCTGCAGCAGCAGGGCTGAGCAGGGAGCTGTGCACAGGGAGAAGCAGGGGGGGAGAGGCTGAGACAAGCGAGCTCAGCACAAGGTGGGAGCCTCCCAAATGTGCTGACAAGCAGTTCTGAGCCAGGGATACAAAACACAGGCACCAAACTCGCTGCATGACACAGGTGTTCTGGAATCACATCGACAGGAAGGCCTCAAGCTGAGCTCCATTTACCTGTAACAAGCTCGGTGTTGTTCCTGAGCTGGTCAGATTAAACTCCACATGCAGATTTGTTTAAGAGTCTTCCAGTAAAAAACTGGCATTCCCTCCCCAAAGTCAGGTCAGGGGGTTATGAAATCATCCTTCCCAGGTGATCTCAGGACACGTTTCAGAGGGGATATCAACAGCCAGGCACAGCAAGCAGGGACAGACCTGACAGTTCTCCCAAGGAATATCAGAACACTTGGATGCTTGGCTGAAACACACCCTGGGACCAGCCAGAATTCTGCCTGTTTATAAACCATGAGACAAAAGCTAAGCAGTGACTCAGCCCCAGCAGCACTGTGGACAATTACCTGATTAGTCTCCACCAAGATGCACATTTTAACATCAACCCACGGCACACAAGAATTTCTGGTTTTTAAGGCTCTCTGAGAGGCCAAGCCCTGCCTAATATGGACCATCAGGCTGAGCTGCAATGCTCCCACTTTTTGGTTTTTTTTTTTGGACCACTGAATATAAAGCAACTCTAGGACAGTGGGAGACACTTGCACTTTAAATCTACAAAGGTACAGGTGTTCCTTCCTGAAAAACCACCTCTTTCTTGTGGGGATAGAATATCTAGGGAGCACCTAAGGAAAGGGCTGACTATATCCCAGCATTTCCAGCAGCTTCCACATCTTCTCTTAGCAAAACACACTCTGGCTGTGCAGCTGCCCTGCCTCCCTGTCACAGGGAGAACGCAAACATGAGGCAAACAAAACACTCTTTTGGCAAGATACAGAATCACAGATGCATTTTTTCTGTTTTAATTTTCTTCTGAACCTCAGCCTGACATCTCTTCCCGTGTCCTAACCACAAATTCTGACCATCAAAACTTCCTCTTACGGTTATGTTGCATAAAGAACATGTGATATAGAGATTTCCACACCTCTTTGCACTTGTAAAGAGACATTAACTTGTGTTCTTATTAAGGTGGCACTAAAAGCCAGGCTACCTGTGTTCTCTGGGATCCTGGCACGTGCTGTCTCAATGACAGCTGCTCAGAACCAGGTCCTGCAAGCAAAGCCTGTGTGCTCCCTCACTAGATCCTGTTTCCAGGTCCTGTCCAAGGCACAGCTGTTATTTCCACAAGAAAGAGCTGCTGGCAGACCTTCAGCCTTCAGCAAAAGCTGAATTACTTCTTTCAAAGCAGCAACCATAGGGTTCACACCATAAAACCAACCACATTTGTCATGAACAAGTGTTTTAAGGTCGCTTAAAGACACTTCTTGGGCAAGAGGAAATTACAGCAGAGTGGGCCTTAATGCCCATTCCTTACAGTGCTGATTTCATGGACAGCAAACAAGATGCAGGATTAGAATCATAGAATCAGCTGGGTTGGAAGGGACCTCAGAGATCATCAAGTCCAACCCTTGATCCAACCCTGCTGTGGTTCCCAGCCCATGGCACTGATGCCACATCCAGTCTCTTTTTAAAAACCTCCAGGGATGGAGAATCCACCACTTCCCTGGGCAGCCCATTCCAATGGCTGAGCACCCTCTCTGCAAAGAATTTCTTTCTAATGTCCAACCTAAACCTCCCCTGGCACAGTTTGAGACCCAGCCCTCTTGTCTTGCTGATGGGAGAAGAGATCAACTCCCCCCCGGCTCCCCCCTCCTGTCAGGGAGTTGCAGAGAGTGAGGAGGTCTCCCCTGAGCCTCCTCTTCTCCAGGCTGAGCCCCCCCAGCTCCCTCAGCCTCTCCTCACAGCACTTGTGCTCCAGTCCCTTCCCCAGCCTCGCTGCTCTTCTCTGGACCTGCTCCAGCCCCTCAATGTCCTTCCTGAGCTGAGGGCCCAGAACTGGACACAGCACTCCAGGGGTGGCCTCACCAGTGCTGAGTCCAGGGCAAGAATCCCTTCCTTGGACCTGGCTAACATTTGCTAACAGTTTATGTTCTACATGAAAGAGTTACCGAAGCACCCCTTTCTCCTCATGCACTCACAAACACAGCACAGGGAGGCTCCTGCTCACCTTGGGCAGCGTATCTGCACGAGCCATCCTCCACGAGGACGTTGTAGAAGGGCTGGTGGGGGCCGTGGGGGAGGCTGTGGACGTTCATATTCCGGATCCACTCGTGTCCCATCATGCAGGCGGGATCCCAGCCGTAGATGACACAGTTATAGCCGTACCTAAGGACAGGAATTGCACACCAAACACCGTGAGAACCCCAGAGCCAGCTCCTTTCCCTCCAGACTAATACAGCACAAACAGGATAGGAACCTCCTGTGAGCTGGCACGGGGAGGAGGGGGAAGAAAAAAACCAATTCAGGAAGATGGTGCGTGTTATTTTGAGGTGGAGGGAAATGACTGGGAGTGACTGGAGAAACAGACAGGAATAAACAGCTGAGGACAAAGGAAAACCAAATGTGAGCAAGAAAAGAAGATAGGAAAGAGACTGGAAGGCACCAGGCAGAACAAGGAACAAGAAATAGGGAGGGAATGAACCACCCTAGTGCACTGTGCAATTCTGTGCCATCACACAGACGTGGTAATCCCTGAGCTCCCAGAAACAAAGGCATCATTATTTACGGGATATTTATGGGATTAATCGAGAGGTATTATAACTGTCACTGCTGATGCCCTTCAAATATGCTCCACATGTCCTGTTGAGTCAGAGGAGTGGCCATGCTGGCATGTCACTGTGGCAGAGCAGCACAGACAGGAACAACAAAGCCCCTGTGCAGTGCAGGGAGAGGAGGGAATAACAGCACAGGGAAAGATCCACAGGCTCTTAGAATACCTGTTGGATTCCAAATTTTAGATATGAGAAAAGAAACTGCTAGGTTTAAACAGAAAACCTTGAGTCACAGAAGCTGGGGAAAAACCCCTTTTTAGTAACTTCATCACTGTGGATTCTTCCTGCCTCCTCCAGCACAATGGAAGAGGCTCCTTGCATGATGTTATCACATGCCTTGCCCAAGCCAGAGAGACCATACCCTGATTTGATCAATCTATGCAGAAGACCCATTGTGTTTTATCTCTGCTTTCCTGTTACCTGTCCCCCCTGTAAAATCACCACCCAAGTTAAAGTGGGTTTTTCCCATGAGGCAATTCCTAAGACCCCAAAAATGTTAACCTGGGTTTTTTCCCTTACCTCATCCTTGTGAAACCCCCTCAGTTTTAATACCACAAATATGTAGAACCCCCTGTTGAATATGTAAACCCTGAACCCTTTAAATATGAAGCTGTGAACCCAATAAAGGATTCCAGTTTTCTGCCTGCCCTGGGATCGTGACAGCTTATTGACCCCCACAGGATATATAAGAATCTCTTCTGAAGTTGGTTCTGCTCCACGGTCCCTCGTTAACCGATGGTGACGTTTCTTGAAGAGCTCTGGAAATTTTACCTGTGTGATACCCAATGACTCAGACAAGTCCCCTCCCAAACCCCTCTGCAGTCCAGCAGCAGTGCCAACACTCTGTCTCTGCGAGCACAGACAGGGCTGCTCCCATTTCCCTCCACGCTCCACGGCACAGACGCACGTGCCTGGCATTTCCCATCATTTCCCATCGCGGCTCCAGCTGCTGCCACAGCCAACCCTCCTGCTCCAGGGGGGGTGCAGAGCGGGCTGGCAGCACCGTGCAGAGCTCACCTCTTGTGTTTCATGATGAGCCCTATGGAGAAGCAGACCTCCTTGTGCTTCTCGTCCGAGCGCTGCTTCACCTCGGGCCCCACCTCCTCCTTGCGCCGCTCGATGTGCTCCAGGGTGTGCTGCACCAGGTACCCCACGGCCCCGTGCTGAGACGGGTCCAGGGCCTGGATGTGCTGCAGGATGTCCAGGACCTTCAGCAACCAAAACAAAGGGACATTCAGAACCAGCCCCTGCAGCAGCACTTGTATAAATACATACAGGTCTGTTGCTGTGCTCAGCTGTGTGTAAGAGCCCAGGCCTAGAGATCCGCCACGGGAACTTCCCACACTGAGCTCTCTGCTTGTTCCACGCTTAATCTGCACAAACTGCACACAGTGCTCTCCTTCTCTGTCTGTACAGCTCCTGGCTTCCAAGGAAGGGCACTGGTGAGCACAGCAGCTCCTTAAAACTGAGTCACACCAGCTCACCACCCTGCATTTTGTGACACAGGGCACCGATGAGAGGGTTTTTCACGGTTTCTGAAATGCTATGAGGGTACTGTTGTTAGTCCCCCAAACTGCTGCTGTGAAGTGATTCCACGTGACTCCTGCTGCGCTTGAGAACTAATATTTTAACTTAAAAGAGTTCCTCAGTGTGTCTGTGGGAGCCTGGCAGGGAAAAACGGGGCAGCACTGAAGGAAATGCAAATAACCTCTGTGGTGCTTTCTCCTGGAAGAGTGAACAAGACAGAAAACCTGCCTGGCTCAGGATGAGGAAAGAACACCAGCTTTAAAGGTGCTCTTAAAGCAGGAAGCTTTAGATCCAGAATTCCAGCCTTCCAACACCCTCTGGCACAACATCAGAGCATCTGCTGCCAAGTTTGTCAGAGGCGGGCGATGCAAATTTTACGTTTTTTGTTAAAAGCGAGGAAAAAATCCTCAACCTGTTGTCTAAACATGTTGGGAAAAGAGACACAGAGCTGTCCCAACATCAAACACCTCAAGTGATGCCACAGCCCCAAAATCTGACACACTTTAGCACCTGGCAAAAGGTTTGTCTCATTGATCACATGCTGGAAGGTTTGGTCCCTCTTAAGTTTAGAGCAGCAGCAGCAAAAGAATAGAAATCTCAGGTTCCATCAGCCAAGAAGTGAGGAAAAAAAATCAAAAAAAAAAAGAAGTGAGTAATCTGGTATGAGAAAAAACACAGCTCAGGCTTCATGGCCACTTTAATTCTCTGAAGAATTAAGAAGGAGCTGAAAATCCTGAAAAATCCTACAGGAAGGGGAAGGCCTAGCACAGTAACCACAGCTGCCAGACATTCGAGGGAATTTCATATACTGCCACTTGAAAATATTTAGGACAACATTCTGTATGGCTTTTAAGATTTTCTATCACTTCCCATAAATCTGGCAGTCCCCTATAAAATCTGGTACCTTCTGCCCTGTCAGACAGAGAGCATTCTCTCTGGTTAACTGCCTGGAAGGACTGGATGCTATCCTGGAAAGTCCAAATTTGCCCATTTCCATTGCACCTGGCAACGTGGTGCAGAGAACTACATGGAAAACTCAGCCATATGTGTTCTGAGGACAGCAAATCCAAGGATTGGGGCTTCACAAACACAACCCTGAGTGCCAGGAAGGGGGAGGAAGATCTTCCAGTGTTTTACTGAGCTCCCCCCTATTTATGCACAGTTGCCATCTGATATCAGTGAGTCCTTCCCACGTACAATTTCTCTGTGCTGTTTTCCCCGTGGTCACCCTAAAACTTGCTGCTGTAAGAAAGGAACTCCAAGCTCAGCACAGTCTGTTCTTCAAAGGGAAGGCAGGCAGCTTTTCCAGCAGTCCTGTCTCAGATAATTTGGTGGAAAAAGCTTTGTTTTCTGCTCAGATGCCCGGCCAATACTCCTGCCCCCTCCCCACACCTCACGTTTGGGACTGGCACTGCCCAAAAGTTGAGCTTCACTGAAGCAACACAGGAAATTTTGACCTCTTTGCTGCACTGCAGCACTAAAGAAATTATACTTTTTGGAGTTACAGGCTTCTTCTCTGATCCAGTGAAAGAATTGGATGATCCAGACAACTCCTAAGTCCCAGCACCTTTCCCACACTCACAAGATTGTAGGACTCGAGTTGCTACACTAAAGGTAATAATAATCAAAAAGAATTCCAAGGACAGGAATATCAAGCTGCTTTTTCACTAGAGCCACAGACTGTGTGGCCAAGTTTCCAGAGAACAGCTTTGGTCATATTTATAAAAGATAACTTCCTCAAGTTTCCTGATAAGGTAACTGCTCCTTTTACAGGAGTCCAGCAGGAATTTGATCACAATTTGGGCATAAACCAAACAGGATGATCTTGTAACTTAACAGCTAAAAGTGTTGTTTGCAAGATAAGCTGTGAGGCTTGGGCAGTAAATCACGAATTATGACTCAAGGCTGCTCATGAGTCTCCCCTAGGACAAGCAGGCAGGAATCATCCCCTCTTCCCTGCTCTGCATGGCAGGAATTGATTCTCTGCAACGTGATAACTCATTCCATTGCATTTATTACAGCAACAACTTGTGGCAGACTGTAACACAAGCTGAGGCAGCCCAAAAATCAATAGCCCAGTGTTAACAGTGCTTAGCCTACCCAAAAAAACACCCAACCAAGTGGAGAGGTACCTTTTCTGGCCAGATTCCCAGGTGGAAGTATAACCTAGCCTGGAGCATTAGATGCTGCACATTGTCCGGATACATGGCCAGGTACAGATCCAGGGAGTCTCTCAAGAGCTGGTAAGACTGGTCAGTGCTTTCTCTGCCAGCAAAAAAGAAACCCAGTTGTAAGGCTCTGCAACCCCTACCCCAGTACTCCAGTGGACAGGGAGAGTCCCCAGAAATGATGCTACGGGTATGGGTGTGTTCCCTCAGCCACTCCAGCACAGACTGGGCACATCCAACAGCTCAGGAGGAAAATCCCTACACAGCTGGCTGGGCTCTGCCCTCCCACTCCACTGCTGTCAAACAATCCTGCACAGAGAACTCACTCACCAAGCCACTCCCTGCTGAAATCTCCTTTTGTTCCCTTAACACCTCAAGCAATCTTTTCACTCCTGTGAGTTCTGTCTGTGGCTACTTGGGAAAGGGAGTATCAGGGGCACTTGGAAATAAAACTCAGATGTTCTACACACCAACAGTATCTCTGAAACTGCTCCTTTGAGCATGTGGGTTGTGCTTACCAGGTCACAACAAAGGTCCCTGCTCTCAAGGGAAGGGTGGACAGTCCCTATGAACTTTTCACAAAGGGGGAAAAAAAAATAAATCTATTTTCTTGAAGGGAATTAATTTTACTAAACATTCTTATTTCCACTCAGGTGAAGGTGATTAAAGGCAGCCAGACAATGCATTGTGACAGACAGAATTTTGAGGATCTCCTGGGGTGACTGACACCTTTCTGAAGCACTCGCTCCGAAACTGTGAGAGGGGCAATTTTGGATATGATGCCAGGATACTCTGGGGGCCCTCAGAGGTGAGAAGATCTCAACTCACCGCTTGCCCAGGTTCAGGAGGTTGCCCACCATGCGCTGCAGGACCTCTTTGGAAGTCACCACTCCATAGAACTCCTCTGTGACGTGGTGCCCGATCAGGTACTCGCACTCCTTCACCGTCAGCTGCTTCCCCTTCCCGAAGGCATCGATGTAGGTGTAGTCAAAAATATCTGTGCTCCTGAGAAACCACGAGGAAACCAAATGGTGAGGAAGGGTCTGCTGCTAAAGCAGGATCAGCCATTCCTCTTCTTCCCTCAGCACTTTTGTAAAACAAGTGTCATTTATTCCTCAGCTCCCCCCTAAACAGAGATTTCCTGGTACCTTCTCTCTCTTTTCTAATTTTCCTAAGGGAAACAACACCCCGTGGTTACTGTTACTTCAGGAAATCTGTTCCCACTCAGCAGCAGCAGAGCTGATTTTTGTGGGAAAATTTTTCTAGAGGTCTCATCTTTTTCCTCTGTCTAGGTTATAATTCCAGGAGGAAAATAATGACACATTTTCATATAGGTCTGGAGCTGTAAATGCTTTCTGGCTTCAATATTCAGCAGGCCACTCACCCTTCTTTTCCTTGACACCACCTCAGGAGAAAATGGCTGGGGAAGTTGACTGGTTCCAGTTTGACTCCCAGTTGCCTGGCAATTGTTAAATAAAGCACAGACAAACTGATGGGAATTCCTGTCCTGCGGATCAAAACCTGGGGGAGACAAAGGTGAGAAAAACACGTGGGGTATTCAGAAAAAGATACAAAACCCTAAGGTGTGATTTCACAAATGAAAACACCACAACTCCAGAGAATATGCCTTAAAATATTATATTGTACTTTACAGCGAGTTGTTCTTCAGAGAGAATTATTTGTCTGGCCACACTTGGACAAAAGACCATCACAAACAGAACATCTGAGGCCTTGCAGCCTCGTGGGTTTTTTGCCAAAAATGTACCTGGTGAATGTATGAATTCAGGGAGTTGTAGTAATCCAGCTCGTTTCCTTTGTATTTTAACTGCTCGTACAGGACACAGTTCATGGCATCGAGAACCTGCCGCTGGAGCTCCACTTCTGCAACACAGACCTCTCCTGAAAACACGTGCAAGGAAACAAAGACTGAGAAAACAAGTGCACTCCACCTCTGGGCAGTGATCTTCACACCAGAAAGCTTCACGTGGACTCACTCTGCCCTTGAAAGCCAGGAAAACATCACAGAGTGTTTATAAAAAGCATCTTTTTTTTCTGAGGAGCCTGTTTTTCTGCCTGAAAGCCCCACATAATCAAGGATTGCTGTATTAGGAGTATTTAGAACGTGTCATTACTGCAGAAGGAAGCACTGTTAGAGGGTCTGTTATTAACTGCATCTTATAAATGATTTACAGTGATACCCTTACCCCTAAAAAGAAACAAAAGTAAGCTGAGAAGTGATAATGGCTCCTACCACTGCCACACTCAAAGACCAGAATAAAAGCAAGCAATTGCTAACTGCACCACTAATTCAATCAAGTGGTTTTATGTATTAGACTGATGCACTTTAATAACAGCTATTCCAGCTTAAGATAATTTTCCAACCATGTCAGAGAACACACTGACCTTTGGAGCTGTTAAAACATGCACCTTTTTTCTGGGACTTGCAGAGAAGAGGTTGTTTCCCTGCCTACAGCTCTGCTACAGATATCAGGACTATTAAGACTTCAGGGATAAATGGGAAAAAGAATGAATTCCCCTCCCAGTTCTGTTTGCTCAGACAGCATCAGATGGATGAACCCTGGGCTGGGAGGTCTCTGGGGCTGAACAAACAGCTCTTTCCCGGCTGATGGTTTAAGCAAACGTCAGAATATGTTTGCCAGGGGATAAAGAACAACAGCTCCTCAAGCTGCCACAACTCAACAGCTGCTTCCCCTTGTCTGCCTGCACCCAGAGCTGCAGGAAAGCTTCATTTTCTGTACAGTACCTGCCTTGGAAGCCAAGCTGGGGTGCCGGGGGTTTTTGGTCCGCAGGACTTTGCGCACCTTGTCTGCGATATCGTCCACCTGCGCCTGGACGCTTTTTAAGCAGATGTCTGACAGGGGGTTACAGTACTGATCAATTAAAACAGCACCTGCAAGAGACAAACTACATAAGAAACAGGACTTCAGTTTTTTTTCTTTGCTTAGTTTTGCCTGCTCTGCATTCCAGGCATGCAGGGAGGGATTGCAGCAGAGCACCAGAGCCGTCGGTCTATAACGTGCAGCCAAATATTGGATTTTATCACAGAAAATGCAAGGAATAAGCTGACACGATAAATAACCAGTTAAATTCAGCATTCCCCCCCTCCACCACCCTGAAGGGGAAAGCAGTGGATTTGTACACTGAGCAGGTATGCTGCTAGGCCAGGCTTAACCAGCCAGCTCTGCGGTCACACCGCATCCCCTGGCACCTTCCCAGCTCACACTGCTTTTTATTCAGAGCCTGAAACAATCCCAACTTCACTTGTGCTTCAGCTCTGATTTCTTCCTGCAGCATCTTCCATAGCTATCATCTTTGTTCTCTTCTGCTACATTCATCTTTCCCTTCCACACACCTGCCCTCCATCTTCTTATCCAAAACCCCGCTTGGAACAGAACAAACTTTCATTTTCCTTCTGCCCAAACCTCTTCTGTCAAACCTATCCCTGTCACAGGATCTTCTCCTTGTCATCACTGCTCTTTCCAAAGCCTCACATTGCCCAGTCTTTGGAATCAACTGCAGACACCTGCAGGAATTCTGCATGGACCATACCTCTCCCAGCTTCCTACATCACTCTGTTAGCACATCCACAGCAGGGAATTCCAGGAATTCAGCAGGGCCCCAAGCCATGGCTTCTTTTAGTCCCCTTCAAGTGTTCCCTGTGCTGGCCAGGTGGAACTTCACAAGACTTTCTGTGCTCTAATATAGCTCTAATAACGTGCCCTTCATGGCAGACTATTTGTGCACCTATTTGTGACCCACATGATTAAGTCACATAAACAGCTGTCCAAAAAAAGCCACTGTGGAGAAGGACAAGAAGGGAAAGCCAAAGTCTACTGCCACCAACAAGAACCACCTGTGGTGTTAGAGGCTCTTTCAAAGGGCATTTTGGAGAGCACACCAAGAGTAAGGGACTCTTCTACAGCCACTGGCAGCTTTGGATGCATTCAGAAGACTGTCTTCTCCCCAGGAAGCTTGGGAAGGAGAATAATCCACCAGAGTGAAGACATGAACAGAAGAAAAACCTTTTCTTTCTTCTTATCAGGTGCACAGGTTACACTCCCACCCTGTGCCTGGACTTCCAGCCACTCCCCATCCCTACCCTGCATGGTTTGCAGAGCCCAGTTCTCAAGGGACAGTCCCGAGGGCAGCTGAAATATTAAGCAAGGAAGGTTCCTTCCAAGCAAAACAACGATGGGAAAGCTGTCAGGAGGTGCAAAACAGGGGATTTCTGCCCAAGACTTACCCTCCAGGAACGACTGTCGCTCGGTCGGGCGCTGCAGATACTCCTTCAGGTTTTTTAATATGTTCTGTTGCCGCAGGAAATAGAGGATTTTCTTTGCATAATACTTCCAGGTGAGGCCTTTCCTGCACATTTAAATACAAGAAGCAGCATTGCCCCAAACAGGTATTTTAAGGGTGAACATTTGATTGAATTTCTCTGGTGAACAGGAGTTTATAATTTAGATTATTGCTTTTTTTTAATGAGTTTGACAATGCTGTCGCTGAAAAGTCAGCCAGAAAGGGAAAGGTTAAGAGGAAATTTATCATCAAAACCCCCACAAGGTAAGGCACTTTCAAAACATTGTTCCCACCATCTCTGATTTTCATCTTACCACCAATATATAACTTTGAGTAGGTGCATTATCATGGGAAACAACACAGATCCTAATTAAAGTAGCTCAGGAATATCTGATCAAAATCCTATATTTTATTCATAAAACATTCCCCTCTGTCTGAGTGGATCCCTCCAGAGTCAATCTGAAAGCACCCTCTCAGCATTAAAAATGAATTGATGAGGGATATGAATGTGAGCCCAACAGTGTTCAGGAAAAACCCACAATTCCCCCGAGGAAAACCAACTCTGTTGCTCTGAAAAGGCAGGAATGGATCAACAGTTGGTGTGTAGATGACACAATTCCAAAGCTTTTTATAGGAAAGCCCCATCACTTTCTAAATTAACAGGTGGAGGCAGAGAAGCAGCACTGGAGAGCTGGTTACTGTGCAGGGAAGGTTGGAGGAGGTCACCTGCAACAGGACAAACCCAGAGGTGTTCACACCACGGGCATCTAAACAAGCCCTGGCCTCGAGAACACCCAGAGGGAAAATCCTCCTCCTTCCCAGGCTCTGCCCTTGCCATGTGTTTAAAACAAACCCAGGTTCCTTCCTCAGAAAAAAAATCTCTTTTCCTGCTTACACCTCCTGTCCTCCAGACTGCAGGTCCAGTCAGGCTTCTCCATCCTCCTGGACAGGAGGACAATCCAACCCCATCACGTTTCATCCTCTTCCAATAAACTGGGATCCTCAATAGGGACAACTGCTTTATTGGGATGTCTTCCAGGGCAATGATTTAGCCTAATGCTGCTGAATGGCAATGAGTACAGCTTAATCAGGGGGTAATTAGCAGCAATTCTGCTTTATGGGGAGGCATTTGGCCAGCGAAAAGGGCTCAGAAGCTTTTCAACCAGTCGTCAAGCCAGGGATGCTCAGTCCCAGTTCAAATGGCAAAGGTAATAAAATGGCTGTGAAAAGGCAAAAATGAGCTGATTGCCATTCCAGTGAGGTTTTTTCAAGCTCTACTGACAGTCCCTCTAATTAAGGCTTTTAGACCCCATTAAGAGCAATCTATCATTGCTTTTGATCACACCAAAACCAGCAGAAAAACCTCCAAGGAAAGCAGTGACTTATTCACCCTGCCCAGTGTTCATCCTGGTGATGAGAAAACCCAGGCAGGTGCAAACCAGAAGTTTTATTTACCCACTTGCCATTTCATTTGTCTGAATAATTTACAGGACTGTAACATCTGCAGTGGCTGAATTAAACTCAGATTTAAACTCTGAATTAAATTCTTATTTGGGAATAAAAAATTGTACCAACCTACTAGAGCTAAGAAAAGCAACAAGAGGAAAAGAAAACAAAAAGCTGTAATTTCATGCTACGTGGCTTCAAGGTGGCAATCCTCAAGTATTCCTGTTTCCCTCTGGTGGGAATGATCCTGAAAAGCAGTTCAGCAAACTGATCCAGGCTTAAATAAAAAGAGGAACATGAGGATGGGAAGTTGCTGCAGAGAAGGGGGTCCCAAGAGATGGCATGAACTGGCAAGCAAATAAGCAACACCAAGCCAGGGGACTCCTTTTTGTGGGACAGTTCATGTGGTTCCTTCTGGAAATATTCAATTTGTTCTGCAATTAAACCCACAGGAACATGTGCCAGCCTTGGTGGGCCTGGGGGTGTTGTTTAATGAGGGGCACAAGGACAGCAGCTGAGGTCAGGCTGTCCCCACAGCACTGCTCTCCTGGCATTTGTCACCCCTCTCTCTCTCTTACCTTCCTTCCATGTTCAGGATGCACATCAGCTCATCCTCAAAGAAGTGACTGGGGCACCCCAGAGTCTCAATGTCACTGAATCCATCACAGGGGACCTGTGGGACCACACAGGGAGTTATGCAGAGCACAACAGATTCCTCTCAGCAGAAGAGAACTGCAGAAAAAAGTCTCAACCCCAATTTTGGCCTGTTTTTTTCAAATCCAGGCAAGACCTTAAAAATGTCCAGCTCACCAAATACTCACAGTCTGTACTTCATGGATTTATTACAAGGATCCACTGAGAGCCCTGGTAAGATCCTACAGCAATTTGAGCCAAATTCTACAGCATTTGGGGCTCCTAGGGTGGGTTAGGGACCAGCACAAGCACATCTCATCTCATGCAGTCATTTTAAAGTGGAATCAACTTTTGCCTGTGGTTGGTTGAACCTCAGTGCCTAAGATTAATCCTGGGGGAAGGAATGAAGAGGCAGGAGCCTTTATTTTTTGAATCAACCACTTATGCATCTATATTAAGAACAGCTATTTTCTTCCAGAATTCAGAATTATTTTTAAAGTTTCTGGTTGAACTATAAAAAAATTCGTTTCTCGGTATAAGACATGGGCTGAAAGTCTCTTCCTCTGAGTTCTAAGCAGGGAATCAAGCTGCAGTTTCTTGCCCCACAGGAGATGATTCTCATTATCAGGCCTTTGGGTATTGCTTAATGGTCTCTCAGAAGTCTTTGCATACGTGATTAAAAGAACAGCAATCCAGGAGCTGCTTTTCCCAGTTAATGCTCTGACAATTCTCCACGGACAGATGTGTGTCTGCTGCAGCTACAGTGGGAGAGAACAGCCAAGAGACACCAAATACCCCACTGGCCCCACAGCCACCTTCTCCAGGAGAGACACTACCTGCCAACCCTTGCTGAAAGTCAGGGGAGAGGGTTTCAACACAGGTCTCCTGTATCTTAAGGGAATTTTCTACCGGACCACGATATTTTTGCACAGGAGATACAGAGGGGTGGTGGCCGGTCACCAGTGGTGTCCCCCAGGGGTCAGTGCTGGGCCCAGTCCTTTTTAACATCTTTATCGATGATTTAGATGAGGGGATTGAGTCCATCATCAGCAAATTTGCTGATGACACCAAATTGGGAGGGAGTGTCGACCTGCTGGAGGGCAGGAGGGCTCTGCAGAGGGACCTGGACAGGCTGGATCCATGGGCTGATTCCAACGGGATGAAGTTCAACCAGGCCAAGTGCCGGGTCCTGCACTTTGGCCACAACAACCCCCTGCAGCGCTACAGGCTGGGCACAGAGTGGCTGGAGAGCAGCCAGGCAGAAAGGGACCTGGGGGTGCTGATTGACAGGAGGCTGAACATGAGCCAGCAGTGTGCCCAGGTGGCCAAGAAGGCCAATGGCATCCTGGCCTGCATCAAGAACAGTGTGGCCAGCAGGAGCAGGGAAGTGATCCTTCCCCTGTACTCTGCATTGGTGAGGCCACACCTGGAGTATTGTGTTCAGTTCTGGGCCCCTCAGTTCAGGAAGGATATTGAGGTGCTGGAGCAGGTCCAGAGAAGAGCAACGAGGCTGGTGAAGGGACTGGAGCACAAGTCCTATGAGGAGAGGCTGAGGGAGCTGGGGTTGTTTAGTCTGGAGAAGAGAAGGCTTAGAGGCGACCTCATCACTCTCTTCAACTACCTGAAGGGAGGTTATAGCCAGGTGGGGGTTGGTCTCTTCTCCCAGGCACTCAGCAATAGGACAAGGGGACATGGGCTCAAGCTCTGCCAGGGGAGGTTTAGGTTAGATGTTAGGAAGAAATTCTTTACAGAGAGGGTCACCAGGCATTGGAACGGCCCTACCCAGAGAGGTGGTGGGTTCACCATCCCTGGAGGTTTTTAAAAAGAGATTGGACGTGGCCCTTAGTGCCATGATATAGTAATTGGAGTTGGATCAGGGGTTGGACTTGATGATCTTGGAGGTCTTTTCCAACCCAATCTATTCTATGATTCTATAGTGGCTCTGGTGTGAACTTTTAAATTCAGCCACGTTTCCAGGCAGCATTTATGCTTATTTCACAGAATTTTAGGCTCACCCAACCGTACAACTTGCCCAAAATCCACAGCCACCAACTAAGCAAACGGACAATGAAATATCTGCTGCTCCACGTGCGAGTCAAGTCTCCCCAAGACACCACATTTCCACCTTTTTCCCACTGAACACAACAGCATCTCGGTGTCATGGCTGGGTGAAGAACCTCAATAACATCCTTTCCAATTGAGTGACCCTGCTGTGCCTTGCCCCTGCTTCCAAATGCCTTGTGACAGCTCCCAGAACACAGCCCTGCTCAAGGTCTGCAGGGAGGAATTCGGGGCTGTGCTGCGTGTCAACAAACCACCCCGGCCTTCAGAAGTTCCCAGAGCTGGGTCTGAACACACAGACGTGAGCAGAGAGATTTTAAAGCTGAAAATGCAACCAGAGAATGTGTGTTGGACCTTTGGATTTTGACCTCTGTCCCCTGTTGGCTGTGGATTAAAATTTGCACACAAAGTGAGGAAATACGAAATTTCTGACCGCACAGTTGAGACGATGCGAAGAGAGAGACAAGATAAACTGAGAAAAAGTATGGATTAAAATCAAGGAAGTGCAATCTTTGAATAATCCTGAGTTGGAAGGGATCCACAAGGATCATCCAGTCCAACTCCTGGCCCTGCACAGACATCCCAACAATCCCACCCTGTCCCTGACAGCGTTGTCCAAACCCTCCTGGAGCTCTGGCAGCCTTGGGGCTGTGCCCACTGCCCTGGGGAGCCTGGTCAGTGCCCCTTTTCCTAATAATAATAACAATAATTTTTAAAAGGCAAAACCACCTGAGAAATAAATACCTTTTGAATGGCTTAAGAACTTTTTAAGAACACAACCTCCTGACACGAAAGCTCAGCCGCTCTTGAGGAAACAGCCCCAAGCTGCACCAGGGGAGGTTTAGGTTGGGTATTAGGGAAAATCTCCTCACTGAAAGGGTTGCCAAGCACTGGAACAAGCTGCCCAGGGATGTGGTGGAATCACTGTCCTTGGAAGTGTTCAAAAAATCTGCAGATGTGGCACCTGGGGACGTGGTTCAGTGGTGGACCTGGCGGTGCTGGATTAGCGGTCAGACCTGATGATCTCAGAGGGCCTTTCCAACCTGAATGATTCCATTAATGATTCTAATAATGATTCTACTAAAACAAGTGGCCAGGCTGTTGCACAGACACGCAGAGGACTCACGTGTTCTGAGAAGAACCTTTTGGAGAACGAAGCCACAATTCTCTGGGCCTCCAGCCCCGCGTTGTGCCGGGCCTTGTACTCCTCCAGCCAGCTCACGCCGTCCGTGTGGCTGTAGTACTTCAGCAGGGATGGCCACCTACCCCAGGAGACACAAAGGAACAGGAACATTAGGATTTCAGAGCCCTGAGAGCCCCCAGAGCTGTAAAATGCTGCTTATTGTAACCACTGAGGAGCTGAGACACCGCCCAGCTTCAAAGGTAACTGTGTAAAACCGACCCAAACGTCGAAGCACGAACCCACCGATTTCAGCTCCGTGGTTATTTAAAAGTCAGATTTCCTAAAGCCTGCCAACAGGAAACCTTCAGAGGCTCACACGCCAGGGTTTCAGCATCTAAATATCCTAACTGCTTCAGCTGGATAATTAAAAGAGTTCAGCATAAAGAAGTATCCCATGTCAGCCAACTTGGCACCAAACACTGTCCTGTGTTCCTGCTACCACCTCGGGGTCCAATTAAAAGGCTGCACAAAGCAGAGCTCCCTCCACTGCCCTTGCTGGTGGCAACATCTACTGGAGGAAAACAGAACCCTGTAGTCCAACCCCGACAGCAGAATGCTTTTCCAGTTCATTTTTTGGCACAATAAATAATTATTTTTAAAAAAACCTCGCAGCTTTCCTGTAAAAAAACCTCCCCAACCCGCTTTACTGAGGCTAAAAGTCCAAAAACTGAAGACACTTTATTAAGAATTTCAAGGTTCAACTCAAAGTCTAACTCCAGGTCGTGTTTTGGGGGCTGTCAGCAGCACCTTTTCTAACAAAGTGGGAGTGCCATAAAATATGTGGCAGCACAGCAATTCCCAAGGCTGCTGTGAAGACTCCAAGACCACCTGTGTGAGAAACAGGAGGAAGAATCAGCACAGATGAAAATATTTTGGAAATAAAGCTGAGAGAAAGGTCTCTTACAATTCACTGGGACTTTTATTTCATGTTTTGAAATTCTGTTAATTATTACTGGTTTATATAAAACATTTTCCTTCAGTCACAGGGACTGCCTTGATTTTTTTTTTCAGGTTCTATCTATCTATCTATCTTTATTTATTTATTTATTTATTTTAATAAATAGAGATGTTTAAATCACTATCACTAAATTACCTGAGGTTCTTTCCAGATTACATACATATTGACTTGGATAAATAGAGAGAAGGCCAAATATTTAAATCACTACTCCCGTATAAAAATTATTACCAGTGACCAAAATGCACAGGTGGGTTTGACCCCACATGGAAGATATTTCACTGCCAGTTAATAATTAAACTGCCCTGCAACTGCCTTTACAAAATAAAGTCAAATAACCTCAAATTATATAACAACCCAAATCCCTGGCCTCTCTTTTACTGCTGAAACGCAGCCACCCCACAATAACCATCACAATCCTTTATTTTGGGATGAGAAAGGGTAATTTCTTGGGTTGAAATGATATTGGGAATTTTAGGAAGACAAAGTGCAATTGCTCGCGATGGAATCCGGCCAGGACAACAAGGTCAACGTGCAACCTCCTGCCAAAAGTCCCATTACCAAGGAGAGAGGAGGAGAGCAGAGTGTGCTAATCACCCACCACATCCCATTCCAGCTGCTGGATCCCAACCAGAGCTAAACTCCCAGAAAACACAGCCACTGAATCGGTGAAAGTCAATCCCAAGCCACGGTCTGGTGATCTGGGGAAGCTGTAATTGTTCAACAGGCCTTTTTCGCCCGTGAAAAGAGAATAATCCTCTCATTTGGGCCATGCTACATTTTAGAAGCCAAGTGGCAATTAGAGAAAGCAATTTGCCTACTTTTCCCGTGCCAGAACAGACCAAAAAAAAGCAGGTAACAGATGAGAAAGTTCTATCCTAGAGAGGCAGGAGGCCACAGCGATGAGTGGTGGTGCCTCCAGGACTGCTGAAAGCAGCACAGCATCAGCAATGTCACCCCCCTGCTTCATTCCCAGCCAAAATGTGAACAGCTTCAGGGATTACAACACAGCTTTACCCCCACCAGGCACCCTGTGAGTGCCCCTGGGTGAGACAAAACTCGGCAGCAGCAGAAGTCCGTCCCAAGGGTTTTGGTACCCGTGGAAACAGTTCTTCTCAAAGCACCACAAATAAACACCCTTCTGCTGTAAAGGATTAGTCCCGTGATGGGGCAGGTGTTGGAAGATGTTCTGGAAGGTGCTGTCGGGGTCAGGGAGGCCAAGCCACAACTCCAGAGCACATGGATCTGATCTGTGCCACTGGCAGATCCCGGCTGGATCTGGGGAGTGCAGGATCCCGGGTGTGGAAGGGGCTGCAGGACAGATCTCCTGCAAGCAGCAGGCACAGCCCGGTCCCACCCCGCGGGATTTCGGAGGGGAGGCAGCCTTGTGAAGCCCTTTTAGAAGTGCGGAAGGGCAGCTGTGGCTGCCTCATCCCTGGAAGCGTTCCAGGTGGGATAAACTTGGAGCAGCCGGGCCTAGAGGAAAGTGTCCCTGCCCACGGCAGGGGGGGATGGAACTGGATGATCTTTACGGCCCCTTCCCACCCGAAGCGCTCCACGATTTCACCCCGAACGCCGCAGGGCTCGTCCGGCCCGCGAGGGGCTCCCCGCGCACCCGCTGGAGCCGGGAAGCGACACGGGGATGGGGAGCTGGGGCTGCACTTCCACCCCCCCGCCCCGATCACCGCCGGCCTTCCCAGGCCCGGGAGGCCGCGGGCACCACCCGCGGCTCCCCCGAGCCCCCGGCGGGTCCCCCCCTCTGCCCTGCCCTGCCCAGCGCAGCCCCGGGCGGGCCGGGCCGTGCCCGCCGTGCGCACCTGAGGCGGAAGCGCTCCCGCCACACCTTCCCGCGGGGCTGGCACGCCTCGCGCAGCCGGCGGCAGGTGCAGGACACGCGGCCGATGTCGGCGGCGCCCAGCACGTCGCAGCAGAGGATGAGCTCCAGCAGCTCGCCCGGCAGGTCCGTGAGGCCCGTCCCGCCGCCGCCGGGCCCCGCCGGGCCCGCGCCCTGCGCCGCCGCCATCTTGGCTGTTTACCTGCGGTCACTGGGGCCGCGCGGCGCTTCCGGGGAGGGGCGGCCCGGGCTGCGGCCACACGGGGCGGGGAGAGCGGGGAGAGCGGGGAGAGCGGGGAGAGCGGGGAGAGCGGGGAGAGCGGGGAGAGCGGGGAGAGCGGGGAGGGCGGGGAGGGCGGGGACGGCGGGGGGAGGGGGGCGGGGGGGGGGGTGGGGCGAGTGTCTGACAGGGACAGTGTGAGGGGACAGAGCGGGCAGGGAGCCAGGGACGGGGGAGAGTGTCTTACAGGGACAGTGTGAGGGGACAGAGCGGGCAGGGAGCGAGGGACGGGGGAGAGAGCGGGGAGAGTCTCTGACAGAGGCGGCGTGAGGGGACAGAGCGGGGAGAGTCTGACAGGGACGGAGTGAGGGGAGAGAGCGGGGAGGGAGCGAGTGACGGGGACGGGGGAGAGAGCGGAGAGATTCTCTGACAGGGACAGCGTGAGGAGAGAGAGCGGGGAGAGTCTCTGACACTAGCGGCGTGAAGGGAGGGAGCGAGTGACGGGGACGGGGTGAGGGAGCGGGGAGAGACCCTCTGACAGGGACGGGGTGAGCGGGGAGAGAGGGAGTAACAGGGACGGCGTGAGGGACGGGATGAGGGGAGGGAGCCTCTGACAGGGACAGGGACAGGGGAGAGAGCGAGGGACAGGGACAGGGTGAGGGGAGGGAGCCTCTGACAGGGACAGGGGAGAGAGCGAGGGACAGGGACAGGGTGAGGGGAGAGAGCGTCTGACAGGGACGGGATGAGGGGGGAACTCGGCGGGGTGTGTAAATATTAATAGAGACCTCATCGATGCATATAAATGTCTAATAGAGACCTCATAAGTGTGTGTGTGAATGTCTGAAGGGAGACCTCGTCAAGGCGTGTGGACGTCTAATGGAGACCTCGTCAGTGTGTGTAAATGTCTAAAGGGGGACCTCAACACTGTGTGTAAGAGTATGAATAGAGACCTCATCAATGTGTGTGGATATCTAAAAGGAGACCTCATCAATGTGTATCAATATCTAAAGGAGGACCTCAACAATGGGTGTAAATGTCTGAAGGGGGACCTCGTCAATGGGTGTAAATATCTAAAGTGGGTGTCCAGAGGGGATGTCATCAATGTATATAAATATCAAAAGGGGGACGTCATGTGTATAAATATTGAAAGGAGAACCTTGTCAATGTGTGTAAATATCTAAATAGAAACCTCATCAATGTGTATCAATATCTAAAGGGGGCTTGCAAGAGGGGACCTTATCGATGTGTATAAACATCAAAAGGAAGGTGCCAAAATGGGACCTCACTGATGTGAATCAATATCTAAAGGGGAGTGCCCAGAGGGGACCTTATCAATGTGTATAAATATTGAAAGAGGGACCTCCTTAGGGGGAGGTGCCTCATCAATGTGTATCAATATCTAAAGGGGAGTTCCAAGACAGGGCCTCATCAATGTGTATCCTATAATTCTGTAAGAAGATGGATCCAGGCCCTGCTCCGTTGTGCCAACCATGAGGACGAGAAGCAGTGGGCAAAAGCTGCTGCCCAGGAAGTTCTATCTGAACATGAGGACGAACTTATTCCCTGTGCAGTGACCACAGACTGGAACAGGTTGCCCAGAGAGGGTGTGGAGTCTCCCTCACTGGAGATATTCCAGAACCGTCTGGACACAGTCCTGTACAATGTGCTCTGGGATGACCCTGCTCGAGCAGGGAGGTTGGACCAGATGACCCACTGTGGTCCCTTCCAACCTGGACCAGTCTGGAGTCCTGACAAGTGCCACAGACACTCTGGGAGGGGCAGAGGGGAGGCCTTGGCTGAGGGGATTCTGTTGCCTTGTGTGTGGTGGCACCTGAGGTCACATCACCTCCATGTCTGCACTGACCCCTGAGATATCATCACCTCCATGTCTGCAATGACACCTGAGGTGATGCCGCCACCATATCTGCACTGATACCTGAGGTCAGACCACCTCTGTGTCTGCACTGGCCCCTGAGGTGATGTCACTTCAGTATCTGCAGCAGTACCTGAGGTAATGTCATCTCAAGTGTCTGCACTAACACTTCAGGTAATGCCACCTCTATGTCTGCAGTGACACCTGAGGTGACACCACCTGAGTGTCTGCACTGACCCCTGAGGTGACACCACCTGAGTGTCTGCACTGACCCCTGAGGTAATGCCACCATGGTGTCTGTGGTAGCACAGCTGTGGGGACTGAGGTAACACCAGCACGGTGCGTGGGGTGGCACTGAGGTGCCTGCTGCTGTGTCTGGGGTGGCAGCATGGAAAGTCTGAGCAACAGCACCAGTGCTCTGGTGATGTCTGAGGTGACACAGCTGCCGTGCCTCAGGTGACACCACCATTGCCTGCAGTCACACCGCTGCCATGTCTGAGGTGGCACCACAGCAATCTCTGAGGTGGCACTGCAGCCCTGTCTGAGGTAACATGGCAGCTGTGCTCCCCTCAGGCCAGCTCCTCACCACCCTCACAGGGAAGGATTCCTTCCCAATATCCCATCTAACCCTGCCCTCTGGCAGTGGGAAGCCATTCCCCCTTGCCCTATTACCACCTGCCCATGTAAAAAATCGCTCTCCCTATTTTTTTAAGCCCCCTTCCAGCACTGAAAGGTTCCCCCTTGGAAGTACACACTGCCTTCCCATGGGAAAAGCCATGTCCATACTTCCTCATTCACATCCTGCCATTCCCAGGTCTCTGCCTGGAGCGCTGCTGCTGCATTCCAGAGGCTCCAGCACCAAAATTGCCCTAGATTGCACACAAAGAGCCCTCCGTGCTTGCCTGTGACATTTTCCCCGAGGACATGGTCTAAATGATGTGAAACATGGAGTGCTGTGACTCAAGCAGCCTTCCAAGGAGGTGTTTGTGTCTGGCAGGTAAACAGGTACCGCTGATTGACGCCACCGAGCTATTTATAGTGCTCTGGCATTACAGGTGGCAGAGCAGAGCAAGGCCAAGGGATCAGCAGAGGCCTTTCTGTGCTAAAAACCCAGGGATAAGAGAAGAACGAGGTCTGCTAGGTTTTAGTTCACTTTTTTATTTGGACTGTAATGCAAACAGGCATAAGTATTCCATAAAATCAGAAGATTGGAACTATACAGAAAGAGGTGCATGCTTCAGAACAATGTGGATATCTTGCAAACAGAGCCAGAGTCAGTCCGAGAGAGGGGCTGGAGTACACTGGACGAATGGCAGAGATTTTAGCAGCATTGAGAGCTCAGAGGTAGGGGAAGACCACGTTTCTGACCACGCTTAAAGCACTGCTATGACCAAACACAAGGGCGGCTCAGCCCGCTCCCACCACCCCCACCCCCTCGCTCCTCAGGGGAAACCCACCTTGGCACCACACAAAAAGCTACAGAACAAGCTCCCCCCTCCCCTCCACACATAACCCGTCCTATGGGATGCAAAGTGAGAGTAAAGACGACGTGCCAGTCTTAAATCATGGCATCGTTTCATAAACCGAACGAAGGCACAGTGACATGAGGAGGTGCTGAGGGGAGGGAGCAGGAGGACCAGAGAGCAGCCAGGGGTTGGAGTCTCTCATCCAGCCCAGCAGAATTTACCCACACTCGAGGAGTTTAGAAAACCTCTGCAACAGAAAGTTTGGGAGTCGCCTGCCCCGAAGCTGCCACCCTTCCCAGAGCAGTCCCCGTCCTCGTCGCGGCACCGCCGCTCTTCGGGAGAAGGCCACCAGGAAATCAAAGAATCCAAACCAACCTTTGAGTCTCAGGCTTTTCAAAGGTGCCTAAGGGAGCCGAGGGAATAAACCCCCTGCTCCTATTACAGAAATTAATTGGCACTGAATATCGAATTCCCTGGGCAGCTGGCAGAACTCATGTTTCCAACTACATGCAATCTAAAAAGCAATGAGTCCTGGCTGAAAGTCATCTCACTGCTCATCCACTGCCTGGGGAATTGTGTGCACTCTGGAAAAGCTGCAGACTACTCACAAGCTCTTTACAGCACACAGAGCCCAGGGTTTTTAAAGGCATCTCAAGGCAGCAGAGCATGGGGATTCAACCTTGGGAATTGTGGGGATTTGCCTATTTTGCAGAACTCTAGCAAAGCAAGGATTTTGCATTGAATCTCACTGGCTTCAAAGCCATCGTTTCAACGCTGGAGATTCTGAAACATCGCCTTCTGTTTCTGTTTCTCGGCTACTGTAAAGTGTATTTTGTTCAGACATGATTCCATGCCACGATCACACAGAGAGGGAAATAAAAAAGCAGGCTCAGAAGCAAGTAGCATTAATGTCTCAGAAGATTAAGGCAGTTTTGTTGCCCTTGGAAAATTTTGAAATCTCCCTTAGCAATTACTGTAGGAGCAAAACATTTGATTTAATCCCAAACAAGCTGATATACTGTCTGCTTGCTTTCTGCTTGCTTCCCCCACCCAGAACCAACACGTGAAAACAAAGCAACAAGCTCTTTCAGATCAACTGTTTCAGTGTTCTGTCTTTCAGTTTTCGAAGTATTAGAGATGCCCCTGGAAGAAAAATACTTTGCCCAACGTTTTTCCCTCACGGGTTTCTGCACCAGCCCTGCAGAGACCTGTGCACAGGAGCTGAGCCACAGCCCAGCAGCGTGTTCCTGCTTTTCCACAGCCCTGCTAAACCAGGGATTCTCAGGGCAAGGCTCACAGGTCTGACTTTCTCACTTGGAGGTGCTTCCTCCCCACTCCCTCCCCAAAATCTGGCCAGGTAGGACGTGACTAAGGCAGGAGGGCAGCAGTGAGACTCTCTCACTGCTAAACAAGCTGCCACTGCTCAGCTATGAACTCACAATCTGTTTGGGTTTGGTTTTTTTTTCCCTGTGATTCAGTGGCTCAAAATTCCATCACAGCCAAACATCTGTAGGGGTGGAGGCCAAGAGTTTCCAGTCTACTTCATTCCAGGCAAAGCAGGAAAAAGGTGGATCTCATCACAATGCCTGAATATTTCAGGAGTTACCTGTGCTAAAATCAAGCCGGTTTT